CAAACACAGAAAATAAAAAGTTTTTAAAGTTATACTCAAACAAATCACACACATTTGCATGCTACACCGCAGATAGCAAACCCTTTTCTTGTTGAGTAGATTCTTTCTCAGAGAAATAGATGAAGCATAGTCACTGGATTCCAAGTCCTATAATTATCCAATAACATAATGATATTGACACAATTATAGCAAGCAAAAAAAGTGTGTATTTTTAAAGTACTTCCCCATTCCTTTTTTCTCCAGCTCCCAGCTCACCAGAATATATATAAATAAAACAAAATAAACAAATTTCTAGCAAAAAAAGTTAACTTGACAATTTCTAAATTGATAGGCCAATGTAAATTACAAATAATAAACTGTACAGAAAGACTAGCATTAATTTAAGACAATGGTTACTCAAAATATCTTAGTAAAAAATGACATAAAACCATCAATTTTATGATTCATAATTGAAAACTCTTTTTAAGCTTGAAAATAAAGTATAGATTTCTGATCTTAATTTAAATTGTAAAACTAAGCCCCATAAAAACACTCAACATCATTTTAGAAAACGTGCTTAAATTTTTTATTTAAATGAACATTTGAAAAATTACTAAATTTACTGTTAGCAAGATTATTCATTAATACAGTCCAATAACTTTCACATTTTGGTGAAATTGAAAATATAAATGCTTTCACACCTAGAGCCTTCTATAGATATATATTTTTTAACTCTACACTAAAAGTTAATTTCTTATGAAATAATTATTGGGGTCTATTTTGTTTATAGACTGATCAACTACATACTTCTGAATTCAAAATATTTATGCTCATCTTTTTACCTTAAAGCACAATCCTAAACATTTTAAAGGAATCGAATGAAACTGTTATTCATCTTAATATATCAGAGTAATGGAAAGAAATGTTTCTCTTGTCACTTGTATGTCAACATGGTTTGAACAGCAGGGGTCAGAGTGAGGGTTATATGTAGACCCTTCTGGTTACAACATGCTCCGCAGACCACGCAAAAACCTTTGTTATGATACAACATAGAATTCTGTAATCACTTAAAGTATCAGTTTAACTTCAACAATGTGAAAAATCCTTTTAATATACTGATGTATAAAATTTTATGTCAATAAATCTCTAGGCTAATTGGTCCAATTGCATAATATAAATCAATTGTTCATGTTTCAGATTACATGCCATAATTGTTCACTATCTTGTTTGTTAATAGATAATTAAAGAAAATGATATAATTTACAACCTAATTACTATTTATTTTTCTTTCAAAGTCTGAATATTAAATTTTATTGTTACATATAGACACAAACGGGTGACCTCATGTTAATCATATATCATATTTTCCCATATCCTTAGTTTCAAGAATATTATCTTTGGATGGTATCTATGGATGACTACAATTTGTTTAAGCTGCTACCAAATATCATGGGTTCCAGCTATTTTTTGTTAATGTTTCAGTAGACATTCTGGTTCCTATCTCTACTAATTGCCTTTTAATACATTTTTGGAAGCAGAAGAACTTAATCAAAGTGTATAAATATTTCTGAGGTCTTTGATATATAATATCAAATTGCCTTCCAAAGAAAGCATGCCAATTTCCAATTTTCTTCAGCAATGTATGGAAGATTCTGATGTAATATATACTTACCAATACTAACTATATAATTTTCTTAATTTAGCTATTTTTTCATAGCTTTTATTCACATCTACCTTATTACTAAAGTGTCCAACATTTTAATATCTTAATTGGATTTTTATAAGTCTTTTGCAAATAGGTTCTTCATGTCCACTTTTCTATAGGTTTATTTCTGAAACAGTTCAGGATGTAGCAAACATATGATCTAAGAACTGACATTTTACCGAGGAAAAATTATCTGTAAAGAATTCCACAGGGTATAAATTGCAGGTGAAACCCTGTATGTGGCATAGGAAGTTACCTGCCAAGCATAAAAAAGACAAGAAGCATGACATAAACATATGGAATTAGTTGCTCTCCGTTCTCCCCAGTTCATCCCTTGCACACCTTCCCTCACCCACTGAGGTTTCTTGTCATTAGCTGTTGTGAAAAGAGAACAGTGAGTTGTGAATCAAGATCCTCTAACAAATACTTGTACAAAAAAGCACTGCAACAGAGGGTAGCATATCAGTTGCCACAAAGATAAGGATGCTTTATGCAGGCAAAGACCTTTGAACAGCTAAACACAGAAGCCTCTTCATACACACTCTCCAGTGATCTACTTTATCATTCAAACACATTTTTTTTCCCGTTCATCAGAGCATCTTTTCATTTTATTTGCTGTTCAAAACACTAGGACACAAAGGATGTGCTTCATCTTCTGTGCCACTGAAATGAAATCTTGAGGTAAAAAAAAAAAAAAAAAAAAAAAAAGCCTTGCCCTAAATTTCCTTTCAAAAGTGAAGTGTGAAAAGACATCAAGCAGAGGACACAGTGTTACTGTTGCAAGAAAGTCAATTCTGCAAGTAGAGTCCAAAGTCATCAGCAGCGGCTCAATCTCTTCCTCACCCACAATGAATAATAATAATCATAATAATAATAATGATAATGAAAACAAGGAGAAAGGGTTCCACTTGTGGAAATGGAACTTCTTATTGTGCTTCCTCCTGATTATCATGAACATCTATGAGCGCAGCTGTTTCCTTTCTCTGACCAATCCTAAAGTCAATGCCATAATATTGACCCCCTTCTATTACATCCTTAGAGCCTATTATATATCACTTTGGGTTCTATTCTGAGCAGGAGAAATTGCAAATGTATCTTTTCATTGAGCAGCAACTGGAAAACCTAACTAATTAATTTAACTTGGTACTGAGAAGTTTACAAATGATTTTTAAATTTTTATAGCCTTTAAAAAGTATACAAAAATTTTTGTACAATTATATATGTATAATATAAATTATGGACTTTTTATAATGTCAGAATATATTTTTTCAAACAGGCTGAAGAAGTAGGGCATCTAAAAGTTCTTCCTGACATAATTTTGTTTGCTACAGAGTATGCATTTATGTACCAGGGTCATTATATAAGTTGCTTTAAACTTTATAATTTTAGGGTAAAATGTATTATTATTTGAATGGGGTTTTTAAAAGCCATCAAAGTAAATACCCATTAGAACCTTCACCTATAGTGCTATTTCTAGCAGAGAGGATTTAATATTAGATGGATTCTTTTCAGTGTCCACAGGAAAATTTTATTAGTTCGAATAACAAAAGAAGTCATGGACAATGAGAAAATAAGACAAGACCATCTTTACATTCATAGATTTTATTAACCAAATTAGCCTATAGTAATCACTGAGAAAATAATTCTTTAATGAAAAATTGTACAATGAACAGACTAGCAAATTAACGATAGTTTCTCCATGTGATTGTTCTTTGGCAATTCAGAGGCACTGTAGAATTTTAAATCGTGATGTTAATTGTCCACACATGCAGAGTGTACTACTTGTTACTAAGATTTGATTTTATGGCTATATATTTTTACAAGATCTTAACATTTACCAGATCTTGTAAGTGATTTTAGTTAATTGTGCAAATAATTCTCCTATACCCCCTTCCTATAATCCTCTACTCACATGGTTTCCTACAAACCTGAAAGTTAAAATTGATCCGTAAATTAACCACAGGACTGAAAAACAGGTATTATCTATGCACACACACATCTTCCACCAAATTTTTTTACTTTGATATGAGGAAATGGTAATAATAATCAAAAGCTGATTTATTTACTGAGCATTTCATGAGCACACTATTGTATACAGCAGACCACTGTGAGATTATTCTGTTTCCTTTTTTTTAAATTCAGGTCTAGAATATTCCCCCAGGCTAAATTTATGCTGTTCCCATCTTTGCTAAGAGAATTTTCAGAAACTTGATGGTATTTCTTTGCCATATCACACCAACTCCTCTGAGAACAAATACAGATTTCCTTAAGCATATAAAATGAGTAAGATTTCAGCTGTTTCCATAAATTTCCTAGGTTACACATGGGAATGGGGCTTAGGGGCAATAGGCATTTTGGCTGTTTGGAAGGTAATTTGTATACTTGTTCTCTCTGAAGGATGCTCAGCTTACTTTGATATTAATATTCGGTATTGTATGACCTATTAAGTCGATTTTTTAAGGCTTCAGGCAAAAATAAAGCAAAGGTTTTTTCTCTAGATGTCTCCTTTCTCAACTTGGTTGCATTTTGCAAAAATGAGCCTTTAGTTCTATTATTTTACATATTCGAGTTGTACTGTGGTGGAGCCTACATGGAAAGTTTCAACATTTTATCCTAGTATATGGAGTGGTATTGAAACACTGAATGCTCCAATATATGTTTTCTTCCAAAGAAATAAGCTTATTCTACGATTTGGAAGTGACTTTGCCAAAATCCAATCAGAACACAACTACAGAAATCTAGACAGTTATCTCAGTAGGTGTAGGCACTAAGGTATCTGTCTTTTAATTCAACATCTTTGATGATATCAATCTCTTGTTATCTTGCCTGATTTTTAACTTACTAAAAAATAAATAAATGAACTAATAATCTGTAGTTTCAATAAAGGTAGAGCTTATGGGCAATAATGTTTCCATACTGTTGTAGAGGTGAACAGACAAGAGTGCTCTCTATGGCTAGAACATGCACAGCTACCCTTTAATCCAGATCAAAGTCTGGGGGTAAAATTTGGCCCTGTGTTTTCCAAATACCCACAGTTTTACACTAATGGCCCTTATATTTAACTTGGAAAGAATTGTGCTACTTCTGTTTCTATTCTTGTATCCATGAGGTAACCAATAGTAAGAGGGCATATTCATTTTTCTATTTTCAAAGTATCAAGTTAGCAGCAAACCTGAAAGTTTTCAACAAACTCAGACTTTTTAAGCTGATAATCTGCAAAATGACATCATACAGAAAACTTTTTGATGGCTATACTGACAAAGACAGAAGATAACTTGAGTATGTTATCAACTAAAATTCTCAAGGAAATACATACCCAAACCTTCCGATTCAAATAGACATGTTTCATCCACCCCTAAATCTCGGCACCAGGATAAGAAATTTGCTGTATTGTCTCGGGCAAAAAAGGAGCCCGAGGGTGCATTGGCTTTGCATGGGATCTTCTTCAGTGGTAGATTCTGAAAAATAAAGAAATTCATTCTAGGAAAAATCTGTCAAAGTTAGCACAATGATGTTTTAAAAACATGTTTTCAACAAAATGCTTTGGAATGACTTCATGCCAATAAATAGGCTTGTGAAGAACCCTAGAAAGGAAATATACTGCTATGCAATTAACCTGGCAGTAAGGGACTGAAAATGTGTTCCTGCAAGCATATATCCTTTTCTTTTTCGTACCTAGGAGGAAAGATAGTTAAGTACCTTTCTTGGCTCGGGCTGCCACTTCTCTTTGTCTTCTATAATTTTTATGGCCTTCCCTTTCATCTAAGCATTCTATCAGTATTTTTCACAAAGTACTTATGAATGTATTTCTCATTAGTGAAAGAGGAATGGGAGAAACACAAATATATGATATGAATATGATACACATATAACATATATACACCTGCATTCTTACAGGTATAAACACATATTGTAAAAATTATACAAGAATTATAAAGTCAAAAGAGAGCAGCGGAATTATTTAACATCACAAGTCTCAATCATCAACACCAAGAAAAGGAAATGCTAAAAATAATGTAGTGATAACATTTGCTGTGCGTGGTGGCTCATGCCTATAATCCCAGCACTTTGGGAGGCCGAGGCAGGAAGATTGGAGTCCAGGAGTTTGCAACTAACCTGGGCAACATAGTATATCCTATCTCTACAAATAAAAATTAGCCAGATATTGTGTGAACCTGTAGTCCCAGCTGCTCAGGGAGCTGAGGCAGGAGAATTGCCTGAGCCCAGGAAGTTGAGGCTGCAGTGAACCTTGATCATGCCACCGCACTCCAACTTAGGTGACAAAGTGAGATGTTCTATCAAAAATCTAACGTTCTACAGACTTTTTTCCAGACTATTTTCTTTTAAACCACAGGATATAGCAATAGCATATAATACAAACATATTTCTGGTCTGAACTCTGCTATCTGACCTTGAAATACATTGTTTACTTTCTGCATCATTTCTATTTTGGGATAAGAAAGTGCTTAAGATAAGGGTGGGGGTGAAACTGGATAGAGTTTTCTGTTAACCATCTTGTAAAACTTTAAGCAGGAAGTCTCCCTTGGAACCATACCAAGTGTTATCTTTTTTCTTTAATAGAACATAACTTATTTCCATGACATTCCATGAAACTAAAGAATGTAATTCTTTGTGATGTGAAAGAATGAGCCATGCCTTTGGGTGAGCTGGACTACATAGGACTTTGCCTCAACAGGCAAAAAAATCAAAGGAGAGGCACTTTGTGATTTAAATTTATAAAATCTTTCTTATATTCACAGTGAACCCTTAAATACAACCAAAATATTGTTGATTGTTGAACTCATTTACAAGGATGGTAATAAAAAATAAAATAGTGGCTTAGGTGGATTGGTGAAGTCCTGCCAACATGCAACTCTTACTAGAGTTCTTACTAGAGTTCCAGGGATTTTGTGATTATACATAACAACTTAAAACATTCAGTTACTACGTCACTCAAAATGCATGTCTGTCTAATCTCAAAGATCCATCTCTTTGTTGCAACTCGAATTTGATTTAGGATAGATGCAATCAAAGTTTCTGCATAAATACACAGATATATACTTCAGGCACTATAGCTATATAAACCATATATAGGGTTACCTATATAACAATATTTCCTTAAATGATTTTGCCCAGATATCAAGTAATGGCTTTCAAAAGAATGCTTTCCTAGATGAGTTATAAAAATAATCAGAAATAGGGTAGTATAATATCTCCCTTGTAACGTATTCATAAGCATTAATTAGCATGTATTGAAATTAAAATATAAATTCCTTAAGTCTAGCAATTCACTTCTAAGAATATATTCTACACATAAAATAGCATTCATGATTAAAATATATGTACAAGTATATTTGTTGCAACACTGATTGAATAGGAAAAAAACAAAAACACATCAAGAGAGCTAGTGGAATGACATATAATATATAAATACAATGAAACTCTATACAATCATAAAAGTACAACATATGTACATGTATTGAACCAGAAATATGTTCAGAATATACTCTTAAGCAGAAACAAATTTGCAAACAGATATTTGTTTCAAAATGTATCATTTTATGATGTATGTACATGTGTACACATTAGTGTGTGTGTATATACATGCAATATAATTGGCCATATATAAAGTTAAATTGCATGTAAATATATTGTGATACATATATAAATATTTACATAGTTATAGAATGTAGATTTAGAAATAATTCAAGAAGGACCTGCATAATTGATAGTAACTGCCTTTGAGGAAAGGAATTGATTGATGTATCAAGGAACATTTACTTATTTTATATAATTCCAAAACAACTAATAGGATTTTTAGTGTCTTTTATATTTTATCAATACTACCAAATTAAAAAAAATCAAAGTAGTAGGCAAGTTATGTCAGTCAAAATATATTTTTAAAAAATCTGCTGAATAAAATCTCCAAGAGATGATGGTAAAGCTTTTTAAAGACACGAATAAGGCAAAAACTATGTTTAGGAAAAGAACATAATTAAATCCAAACAATGAGTCACTTTAAGATCTACCACCTATATCCCTGGTGGGCAGGAAAAACTACATGTGAAACCACTTCAAACCAATATGAGTTTGCAGGTAAAAATTGTAATCTAGGAAGTATAAAATAAGTCACATAGCTACAGGCTTGCTAAATGACATGAGGTACATGATCTATGTGGCAAAAAGGAACAAAATATCCATTTTGCACTGAAGAAGCAAGAGATTGATTTGACACTTAATCCACCAAGGGGTACATTTTGAAAGAACAGGCACAAGTGACAAGCCCTCAAATATCATTCAGCCCACTCTTGAAGAATTTACAAGGACAACCACTAAGCGTGTAAATGAAAATAGCATTTATTTTCCCTTTACAAAGTCATGTACCTATCATATGCCAGAATCTCAGTATTTACTTAAAATTCAATGCAATCGTACTGGAAGATGGGAAAGTCATTTTAAGACAAATAAAATGAATGCTGGCTATTGATACTGCAAAACTTGAGAATTCCCAGTGTAGAAGAATTTAGCAGTAACCCTGATCTAAATACTTGGCATTTAGGTAATTTATGGGGTATTTGCTTCTGAGGAAGAGCTGTTAAATTGAGTGTTCCCATGCCAGCTGAAGACTGGAAAGTAGTAAACAGTGTGAATAGAAGCTTCCAATTTTCATCCAGATAAAACATTTCATTTGAGGATGTTTTAAAGTCACACTCATTTGTCCTATCAAGTCCATCACATAAGTAGAAATAAGGATCTCTGCTCATCAGGAATTTAAAAGAGAATCTTCAATAGCTCACCTGATATGTTTTCCATATTAGTTTTATTGAGCATATTGAGCAGTATTAACTGCTCAATTCTTCAAATAACTACAACATTTAAAATATATATTATCTTTGTTTACTCAGGAAAGTATTTTTAGACAATATTATGTCCTCAAAAACGAATTGATGAATGAATGAATGAATGCTAGACTGCCTCCTCAAACTAGATCATAATCGACTTGAGAATAGGACCAAATGCTCTGTATTAGAAGTTTTACATCCCCCAGGGACATGTTCCCAGGCCTCCAAAATTCACTAAGTTAATGGGATAACCATGCATAAAATGCCTTCCAGAAATTCAGAAAAGCATTAACTGAAAAATTTAATACCTTCAAACCTTTTCTGAAAGTTACTGAATATGAATAATGAATAGAAAACAGTCAAGCTGAACCTAAGTTGGACAGAAATTTAGTCTCACTCACTCACTAGCAAGAGTCATGCTATATTGTACAATAGTGTCCAAAGTGTAGGATTCAATATTTTGTGTTAGCAAAATGATAAGTTACTACCAATAAGCTATTGGGATTGTGTGCAAGCAGTCAACAGGATGAACAGTAAAATTTCTAATATCAAGACTCTACTGATTTTATCTCTCAACAAGATTAATCCAACATACATACTTATAGCTTCTAAAATACTGATAGATTGGTTGGTTGACCTATAAGAGAACAGTTATGCATTCCAAAAGGGCCCTTCCCATTCCCGTCAGGAAACAACCAAGATAGGTGACAATAAATAGAAAAAAATTAAATTTTATTCTAAAGGCTGTTATTACTAATTCAATCCACTGCTTTTCAGATTAGTTGCCAGGTAGGGCTCTGGAATCCAATTACCTGAGTTCAAATTCAGCTATATTTCCCTTCATGCTGTGATTGGTAAATGTACTTAAAATCTGTATTTCAGTCTCCTCTGCTATACGATGTTCATAAAACAAGATGTACACCCAATTGACTATATGTATTGGGGTGCAAATTAATTAAAGTGTATTAGTAAGTGTTCAAAAAAGGTCATCAATGCAAGTAAAAACATACTGAATATCTGTGATTTCCTTCTCTCATATTTTCTTGCCAACATTGCATTATTTCCATTATGGGTATAAGAATTCAGAAATAGACTACCAAATAATTTACTTCTTCCTATCTTTACCCTAAATTTGAACCTTAGCTTCTGAATAGTTTTCTAATGTAACTTCCTACATTGACAAAAATATCCTATATCTGTGCTAACCAATATGGTAGCCATTAGTCACATGTGGCTATTGAATATTTGAACTTTTAAGCATTTATTTCATCTATCAACTTAAATTTAAATACCCACATGTGGCTAGTGGCTATCATATTAGACAGCACATTCATGGGGGGACAGTGAAGCTATAATTTGGAGTTTTATAAAGTGTGGTGTTTGACTGCCTGACTAGCTTCCCTCCTAAATCATCTCCATGTCTCTCAACTCCCATCAAATCCAGTAGTTACCCTGGGTGTAGTTACTAAGACATACAAACATGAAAATCATTTTCAAATATTGTACATATATGGTGCAGTATGTCCTAGTTATGGTGTCATGAAGCGCATTCATAACTAATTCTATTTATAATGTGGTAATAATCTGCATCTGGAGAACCAGGTTCTTATTTAGCA